AGTTCAGACGTGTGCTCTTCCGATCTGGCATGCGATTGAGCGCCATTATATGGAAACGCTTACCAATGAACCAGTACAGACTAGAGTTATTAACCAACGATGTCATGTTGGATTGTGTGAAGGAGCGCCACCGCGTGGACGCATTTACCAGTACAAACTAGAGTTCTTCCCAACAATGATCTGTTGGGTATGGGAAAAAAAAAAAAAAGTTCCCCGGTTCCGTCACCCCATGCGCATGGCTTGAGGTGCAGGGCCCGGTGGAACTTATTAGCGGTCCCCATCCTTTACTTTGTTTACAACGTAAGTGAACGACGGGAGAAGAGGGGTTAGACCGCCAGTGGATAAGTGGAAGGGTTTAGGATCTGGGGTCAGCCCTTAGGACTTGGCCCATCAACATGTATTTCCGTGCTTGCCACTTTTGAGCCATTTGGTTTTTCAACTCCGACTCGTGGCTATGCTGTGCGTTTCGTCACATTTGAGCCATTTGGTCCGAGGACTCCGACTCGTGACAGTCCTCCATGAACTATAGGGACGTTCCGGATTTCCCGCCCGTACGCACATCACCATTATTTCTTGCTTTGTCCGTGTTTCTTTTGTCGTCTGCCCGCTGCTTGCCGCTTGCCCGAGTCAAAAGATATCGCGCGATATTTGGTAAGTGCAATCTTTTATTATCTCTATTACAGTCTCATTTTGTGTGTCAGCTTGTTATTGCATGTAGAAAAATTGCCAAACTGCATGCGAAAGTTGTCGCGAATCAACCAATTTCGTGCACCTGAAAAGAGTTTCATGAATCAATCGTTTCGAATCTGTCGTGTTTCTCTTGCGCGTACCTCTCATATACGTTCTGTAAGAATGTTCAGCATTAAGACGAATGGGAATATCGTGTACGCGCTCGAGAAACACGAGAGATTCGATATGATTGAACCATATCACATCTTTTCTACAGCAAAATGTTATCTGATGGATGTAAGCGATTGACGGTAACAATTGTTTTATTATTTTCAAATTTGATTTCTATTTATGTCGCAGAAGAGGATGGCGGAGGAGACCCGCCGGAATCAGGAAGGGATCCCAAAACAGATACAGAAAGAGGAGGAGCAGCCTGAGATGGAGGGTGCTGCACCTGTCGAGGAGGCGAAAGACAACCGGAATTTATCGCCAGATCTGGTAAGAACGTTCTTCCGTTAGCTTTATTCGTGCTAAATACGTTATTATATATCAAATCATGTTACCTCTATTTTAAATCAATACATACATATTATAGTGATAGACGTGTAAACTTGTGAAATTTTTTTCAGCGCAGGACTGCCAAACAAAGGATTCGGAGCAGGATCGAACGAGAACTTGACAGGGATCCCTGGTCGCAGGAGATCGAATTGGAGATGTACAGGAGGTGGCTCATCAAAAGAGACAAGCGGAAGAGGATAGGCACGCATTTCGACGCACGGGATTTTCTCGTGTGGCGGATGGAAGAAGACGAAAAATGGAAAAGGATAGCAAATCATTATAAAACAAAAGATATCGTAGGCTGCGATCCTAGCGTGTAATGTACCTAAAGAAACAGAAAATGTATCACTCTCGTTCCATTTTGTATTTCGCTTATTATGTGTTTGGTGCCTGCAATAACAAAAGTTAATGTTCAAGATAACATTTAATTGCGCAAACCTCATGTTCCTCTAAATCCTTACGTTTCATCGAAAATAATAATCAATAACAAATATTTCTTGCGAAGACTAGGCGCTCGATCAGAAGTATTATACGTACGTTACGCATCGCTCTGAACAATTATTTCCACAAATTGTGCATTATTAACAAAAAGTCAATCAGGCGACACATCTTACTCTAGACTCTATCTCTCTTATAATCTGTCTGATATCTGCGAAACTCACAGAAATAGTGTACTTCGATGA